TCCAGGAACTAAACCGAGGCATCGGTTTTATTGTTTTCTCTGTCGGAAGCCATGAGGGAGCAGGTGAACTGGGACCAGAGCGCCGGACACTAGCTCTCTCGCCGGCTGGGTACCCTGCTCCTCACTCATGGAGCCGGGCCTTGCATTCTAGAACAAGACCCTAAAGTTCCTGATAGCTTGAGGCCTTCGCTAGAACTAAATGATAAAGATTTGTTCATAGGTCTTAGGGTTTGCAAACTGTAAACACTGGGGAATACCCAGAGTGTTCCAAAGGAGACAGAAAAGCTGAGTTCTTATAGTGAAAAGTGCATTCTTAGCCTTTGAATTGGTCCATGATGGTCACACTCTAGATGGCCGGTGGTCCGGATACATGAACCTTCTTTCCTTAGGCATTCAGAGGGTAATCAGAGGGTTATCTGTAGCAGTACAAGTAGACATCCTTGAGCCCTATACCTTTTCTCTCCCTCTTTTTCTTCTGTTCTGCATACTTCTACTCTTGCTTAGTAAACATTGATAACATGATTGTAACTGAAAGACTTGTAAATATTGGTCATTGCTCAGTGTACTATGATTACATTTCCTTTCCTGAAATTCTAAAGCCAAGATTCTAATAGCACTGAAAGAATATTCAAACATATTCCCTACCAAATACTCATATTGATACCACAGTTTAGTTTGCTTCAAACTGATAGCATGCCTTTCTTACACAGCTTGTTTTCCTTGGAGTTTCTCATTGCTTTCTCTTCCTTTTTTTCTCAACAGCAGAAGGAGCAAAACCTATGCCATCATCACTGTATCCTGTATTGTTTCAGCTTCTGATTTATTCTCTCAATATTTATTCCATTCATTCTTCCTGAACCCTACCAGGCTCGTCTTCTAGTTGGGACTGTTTTCATTTTATTTGAACCATACTTTCCTAATACTACAGTTTCCCCCTGTAGTGTCTGGTTGGTTTTCTTTTGTTCTTACATTCTGTTATTTAGGAAAGTAAGAATAATAAATGAGGATGACAGAAACATTAAATGAGGGGCCAGTAAACAGAAAATAACCCCAGCCCTACCTCTATAGGCATTATTGGTAGGCAAAAAGCTAAACACACAGTCTCTGTCCCCCGTCTCTTTTCACACATGCGCAGCACCTCAGCGGGTTTTCCTCTGAAGAGACAATAGATGGCCTAGCAAGACCAAGGGCGGTGTCGGTACCCTGGAATAGTGGTTGGCAGATTACAGCTGGCGGGCCAGACCCTGCCTGCCAGCCATTCTTGAAAGACCTGTGTGCAAAGGAAGGTTTTTTAGATTTTTTAAAAGTTAGAGGGGTCGCCCTGGCCGGTTTGGCTCAGTGGTTAGAGCGTCAGCCTGCGGTCCAGAGAGACCCGGGTTCGGTTCCTGCTAAGGGCACGTACCTCGGTTGCAGTTTGCCCCCGGCCCTGGTTGGGTCATGCGGGTGGCAGCCACTCGATGTGTCCCTTTCACGTCGATGTTTCTCTCTCTGTCTTCCTCTCTCTCCCTCCCACTCTATCTGAACAAAAAATGGAAAAATGTCCTCGAATGAGGATTTAAAAAAAGGGGGGGGGGGTCCAGAGAAGATTAATATTTTGTGATATGTAAAAATTTCATGAAAGTCAGATGTCAGCGTCCTAAAGAGCGTTGTTTGGGAACGCAGCACGCTCGTGTGTTTGCTCTAGCAGTAAGAACTCAGGCTGTTCAAGGCTGCTCAGGGCACTTCAAATGACAGGCAGTTATAACTCTACAGCATTTTACGTGCCACCTGCATCAATATGCTGCGTTATTCAAATCTTTTAAAAAAATCTCCAGAGCAAACCTTTCATGCCAAAACCAGAAAAGCAGCGAAAATGTTGTTCTCTTGAGGCAAAGTATGGCTTATCTTGTTACTGAATTCGATGGCCAATCCTTGTGTTTGTTATGCAATGACACTAGAGTTGTGATCAAAGAACACAGTATATGTGACATTACACGTTTAAGCAGTCTTCACAATATTCCCAACTCGGGGGGGGGGGGGGTGTGATCAGAAAAATAAGAAACTTTTCAGCAGAGTATCTCATCCCAGCAGAATTTATACATTTTAAAAAGTAAAATGAGACTGCAACCAAAGTCAGTCTCCAAGTAGCTCCTTGGTTAGCAAAGTGAGGACAGCCATTTACCAGTTGTGACATATTGCATTTGATGACAGCCGTATAAGAAATGTGTCCTGCCCGGCTGGTGTGACTCTGATTGAGCGTCGACCCATGCACCAAGAGGTCACCGGTTCGATTTCCGGTCAGGGCACATGCCCAGGTTGTGGGCCTGATCCCCAGTGGGGGGCATGCAGGAGGCGGCCAGTCCATGTTCACTCTCATCGATGTTTCTGTCCCTTTCTCCCTCTCACTTCCTCTCTCTCTAAAAAATCAATAAAGAAAAAATAAATTAAAAAAAAAAAAAGAAATGTGTCCTGAGAAAATTTGTTTCACACTGGTACCTTTAGATGAGAACAGTTGCTCAAGACTTTAGCAACATGATCAGTATCAATTGAAGAACAAGGCAAATGATTCCCAGCTGTTTTCCTTGACTTTTGAAGTTACTGATTCCAGATATTGATACTTATTAGAGCATCAAATGCCAGGTTTGAGACTAAGGAGTTGGTCTCCATGAATAGTCTGTATGAAACAGCTACAGGAAAGGATGTTTTCAAAGAAGTCGAACACCTGCTATGATGTGTAACAGTTGACAATGGTAAAAAGGTGTGTGAAGCAGAAAAAAGGAGTAAGTAGTTGGACAAATGCACAAAACTTGTGAAAATGGTGTTTAAAGATTGTGGCTATTAATTATATTATCTATTGGCAAACACTTTATGGAAAATACTTGAATCTACCAAGTGTCATTGAATGAGTAATGTCTACTCGTAGACTTAGCCATCTTCATTTCTGTGAGTTGTGTAAGAAATAGATGCTGACTTCAGCAATTAGACAGGTTAGAAGTAGTAAAATTTCACTGCAATTTTTAAGCTCAGGGCTGAGACTGAAGTTTTTCTAAACAAGAAGAATCTCCTTCAACCATTATGATTAAACATTGAATGGCTTTGGAAATTAGCTTTTGCTAAGTTTATATTGGATTATCAAATTGATATTTAATATAAAATATTTTTATATTGTAATAATTTAGAAATAGAATTTAAATTCTAAGGATTAAACTAGCTTTTGATAATTTGATACTTGATACTGTTTCTTAATAAAAATCCACCTAACATTAAAAGGCAAAATAGCACTTCTACAAAAAACTTATACCATAGTCATTTTGACTACAATGAATGTTCGAATCATAGGAAATGTCAAGCTACTTTAGGTACTTCCCATACTATTAAAAGTTTAAAAAAGGTGTAAGAGCTTCATTCTCACTCAAATTATTGTAGATCTAGTTTCTGAGCTCAAACTCCAGTTCTAGTAGTTTCAGTCCCTACTCTACCTCCCACTTATTGAGAATTCAGCCTTCTTATTCTTTTTTTTCCCAATCCTCACCCAAGGACATTTTTTTTCCTATTTATCTTCAGATAGAGTGGGAGGGAAGGAGAGAGAGGGAGAGAGAAACATCGATGTGAGAGAGACGCATCAACTGGCTGCCTCCTGCACGCCCCTGACCAGGGCCAGGGACAAACCGCAACCAAGGTACGTGCCCTTGACCGGAAATGAACCTGCGACTCATTGGTCCACAGGCTGACACTCTAACCACTGAGCAGAACTGGCCAAGGCTCAGCCTTCTTTTTAAAAAGTATTTTACTTTTGCCCTGGCCGGTTTGGCTCAGCGGTTAGAGCGTCGGCCTGCGGTCCTGAGAGACCCGGGTTCGGTTCCCGCTAAGGGCACGTACTTCGGTTGCAGTTTGTCCCCAGCCCTGGTTGGTCGTGCGGGTGGCAACCACTCAATGTGTTCCTTTCACATCGATGTTTCTCTCTCTCTCTCTCTGTTCCTCTCTCTCCCTCCCACTCTACCTGAACAAAAAATGGAAAAATGTCCTTGGGTGAGGATAAAAAAAAAAAGTATTTTACTTTTATAATATTGGGTCTCCAGAGGAAAGATAAACGGGCTTGCTATCTTGAATTAGTAATAAAGGCATTGTAAATCCATGTGGACTTTTGTTCATTTTATGTTGAGAGCTAATTCTGTCTTACTGTAACCTGAACACTCTTCCCTAACTCTCTCATTCATTCTCTGCCCAGCAGTGGCCTCGGTGTTCAGGGCTGTCCCCACCTCCAGGAGCACAGAGTGTGGTAGTAAAGCGAGACATAACCATAGTTATAGTGCAATGCCAAAATATGGTCATGGAGATGTGAGTAACCGCTTGGGAGTATAGAGGAGGGGGTGACTGTTTTCATATAGAAAGTGGATGAAGGTGACACACACACACAACAGTATTTGAACTAGATTTTAGAACTTAAAGCCAGAGTTTGCCCAGTAGAGAACAGGCATTTCTAGGCAGAGGGAACAGCATCTGCCTAGGCATGGAAGGGTGAGAAATCGTGGGAGGTGGTTGCACACAGCTACACAGATCAGGGGGAGTGGCAGGAAGGGAAGCCAGGATGGTAAATTATAACCAGATTAGGGAGGGCTCTGGAGAGCGTGCCCTGAAAATCTGGTTTGGGATGCAAGTCTCTATTGCAATAGAGTTGGCTCATACATTCAAGTAACAGCACATCCTATCAAGTAATTTAGTGATAATTCAACCTATTTGACATACATTTTCCACCTACGTATGCTTCCTCTTTACCCGACATATTTGCAATATAAAAGCCAAATTACCACACCTGGCACAGGTGCAGACTGAATTCAGATGGAAAATTCACTTAAGTTTGAGATTTTAGAAGTTTTTGAAGGAGGAAAATATTTTTAAGAAGTATTAAAATGATCTAAAAGGGCAAATCATACTTGACCTTAATCAGCTTTAACTGTTTTTACAAATTGCCTATTCAATTTGTTATTTTCTGAAACTTTAAATTTTCTTTGTTTTTTTAGTGGACAGAAGACTGCAGGAAATCAACTTACCCTCCCTCTGGACCAACGTGAGTAAACATCAGATGCTCAAAACTCACATTTTCCTATGTAATGATCTCATAAAAATAATGTCAATGAATAAAAATTCAAGTCATGTCCTCTATCCTAAAAAAGACAAAAATTTCTTTCTCAGGTTTGTGTATTATGCATGTGACTAAGACCCTACACAAATATGAATATACCTCATGATTAAAATGCTCATTTCTAAGCCAGCCAGTGTGGCACAGTGGAATGAGCGTCGTCCCATGGACTAAGAAGTTTTCAATTCCCAGTCAGGGTATATGCCCAGGTTGCAGGTTCGAAACCAGTAGGGGGCATGCAGGAGGCAGCCGATCGATGTTTCTGTCTCACATCGATGTTTTATCTCTCTCTCCCTTCCTCTCTAAAATATCAGTAAAAACATATTTTAAAAACTTAAAAAATGCTCATTTCTAGCCTATCAAAATCACAGGGGGAAAAAAAAAGATGTCCATTCTCCACTAAATTCTACCTACTGCTGGGCATTTTCCTCATCCTGACAAGTGCAGAGCTGTCCTGTGATTTTCTGGGTGCCTGAGTATACACTACCAGGTTATATTAGAACGAAAAAAGTATTGGGTCTTACGTATGAATCATTCAAGAAATAATCCCTGGCATGATCATCGAATTTATCAAGGGAAAAACAGGATTGGAAATCAGAAGGGAAGGGCCGATATCATATTTTAGTGTATTTAATGTTAATATTGTTAGTCTAGGTATATGGATGTTCTTTTCAGATACTTTGGGGCTACCTGGGTCTAATGAGAAAAACGTGAGAGTACCTCACCAGCCCAGAGGTACCAGAGTGGGGGAAAGGAGGGAAAGGTATAGGCAGGTAATCCTCTTGGCCCTGCTCTTTCTGCTCAATGGAAGTCTCAGCTGGTGGTAGGGACAGGCAGCGTTCAACTTTAACCAGTAACATCAAGATGACTTTTCTGATTTTGTAGCTCTCTAATCATATATTTTGTACTGCACTTGCCTAAATTATGTATCCTAAATAGCCTTTATTCCAGATACAATAAAACTGTAGTAAACTAAATTCTTTCTATTTATTCACCTTTCTGTAGAAAGAGGCAAATATTTGGCAGGAAGTAACTTAGAAGTAGTCAGTTGCTATGTTATTTTAAAGCCAGTGCATGGCCCAGCCCCTCTGACGGTTTGCTCTCCCCAGGTCCTCCTTTCTGTCCCCACGAACAGTGTGTTTGGTCTTCAGTGCCTTATTGACTGTGCGTGTCACTTGGGTGGTCTCACTGCCCCAGTTCATTGAATATTTAATGAGGACTTTGCACAGTCAAGGCTTTTTTCTGCTCCCTTTATGCGCACCTTACACGTGTCTATGAATTGATTGCCTGGCAAACCTTTCCTACTTTGAACTGGTTCTGAATTGCCGAGTGTATGTGTACATGTGTACACACACGTTTACAAATAAGCACCCTTTTCTTATATTTATACATAAAGTGAATATTTGTACCCTGGTATTTCTGCTAGATTCCTCCTTACGTCCCTAGCCTATTGCCAACACAGGAATGCGTAGCTCCACTCTGATCCTTCTCTTCTCTGAACTATAAATGGGTCTTGAAATCTGGAAGAGAAGTAGCTTTGAATGACAGCAAATCCTCCTGTACCTTACAGGTCATCCTTTTCAATCAAGTGCGTAGATTCTGGAGATATGAGTGGGCAACTGTGAGGGAGGAAAGAAACACCTGTTTATCCAGCCTGACCAGTTATTTCAGTGCTGGAGGTCAGGGACTGACAGCCAGAGCACCCCTTAATCCAGCTGAACCCATTGGCATTTCTTTTCTGCTGCTCACTGGTGCTCCGCATCTGCTGTGTGGTTATCATTTTTCTTTAGATTTAATTTATCTTTATTTTTAAAGTATTGCAGATATCCTTCCCCAACCCTCCACTGATTCCCTCCTTCCCATTCCTGCCCCTTCCCTTTGCTTTCACCACACTGCTGTCTGCGTCCATTGGTTATGCCTGTATGCATGTAAGTTCTTTGGTTTATACCTTCCTGCCACCTTCATCTCCCTTCCCTCTGAAATTTCTCTACTTCTGTTCTCTACTTCCTTGTCTCTGGATTTATTTTGTTCGTCAGCTTATTTTGTTCATTATATTCCACAAATAAGTGAGGTCATATGGTACTTGTCTTTCTCTGACTGGCTTATTTCGCTTAGGATAATACTCTCTAGGGCCCTCCATGTTATCTCAAAGGGTAAGAGATCTTTCTTCCTGCCCTGGCCGGTTTGGCTCGGCGGTTAGAGAGTCGGCCTATGGTCCAGAGAGACCCAGGTTCAGTTCCCGCTAAGGGCGCGTACCTCGGTTGAAGTTTGTCCGCGGCCCTGGTTGGTCGTGTGGGTGGCAGCCACTCGATGTGTCCCTTTCACGTCGATGGTTCTCTCTCTCTCTCTTCCTCTCTCTCCCTTCCACTCTATCTGAACAAAAAAAAAAAAAAATGGAAAAATGTCCTCTGGTGAGGATAAAAAAAAAAAAGATCTTTCTTCCTTACAGCTGCATAGTATTCCATTGTGTAAATGTACCACAGCTTTTTTATCCACTCATCTTCTGATGAAGATGACACTTGGGCTGTTTCCAGGTCTTAACTATTGTAAATAGTGCTGCTATGAACATAGGGGTGCATATATTCTTTCTGATTGGTGTTTCAGGCTTCTTAAGATATATTCTGAGAATCGGGGTCACCGGGTCAAATGGGAGTTTCATTATTAATTTTTTGAGGGAACACCATATTGTTTTCTATAGTGGCTGCATTCCCACCAGCAGTGTACTAGAGTCCCCTTTTCTCCACACCCAGACCAGCACTTGTTGTTTGATGACTTGTTGGCAGCCATCCTGACAGATATGAGATGATACCTCATAGTTGTTTTAATTTGCATCTCTCTGATGATTAGTGACATATTGAGCAATTTTTCATATGTATCTTGGCCATTTGTATGTCCTGTTTGCAGAAGTGTCTGTTCAGGTCCTCTGTTCATTTGTCTTCCTCTTGTTGAGCTGTATGAGTACTATATTTTGGGTATTTACCCCTTATTCGATGTATCACTGGCAAATATGTTCTCCCAAAGAGTGGGTTCCCTTTTCATTTTGATACGGGTTTCTTTTGCTGTGCAGAGGCTTTTTAGTTTGTTATTGTCCCATTTTTAATTTTTTCTTTTGTTTCTCTTGCCCTAGGCGATATATTGGTGAAAATTCTGCTGCATGTGATGTCTGAGATTTTGCTGCCAACATTTTCTTCTAGGATTTTTATGGTTTCACAGCTTACATTTAAGTCTTTTATCCATTTTGAGTTTATTCTTGGGTATGGTGTAAGTTGGTGGTCTAGTTTCATTTTTTTGCATGTATCTGTCTTAATTTCCCCAACAGCATTTATTGAAGAGACTTTTTTCTCCATTGTACTCTCCTGCCTCTTTTGTCAAATATTAATTGCACATAATGGCTTGGGTCAATTTCTGGGTTCTCTGTTATGTTCCATTGATCTATATGTCTGTTCTGTGCCAGTACCAGGCTGTTTTGATTATGACAGCTTTGTAGTATAATTTAATATCTGCTATTATGATCCCTTTAACTTTGTTCTTCTTTTTCAAGATTGCTGTGGCTATTCGGGGTCTTCTTTGGTTCCATATAAACTTTTTGAATACTTGTTCTAGATCTGTGAAATATGCCAGTGGTATTTTAATAGGGATTGCATTGAATCTATAGATTGCTTTTGGTAGTATGAACATTTTAATGATTCTTCCAATCCATGAACATGATACATACTTCCACTTTTTTATATCTTCCTCTATTTATTTTTTCAATGTCCTGTAGTGTTTTGAGAACAGGTCTTCTACTTCATTGGCTAAGTTTATTCCTAGGTATCTTAATTTTTTTGTTGCAATGGACAACGGGGTTGTTTTTTTTAGTTTTTCTTTCTGGGTGTTCATTATTGGTGTATAAGAATGCCATCGATTTCTGGACATTAATTTTGTATCCTGCTCCTTTACCAAATTCATTTATTAAATCCAGTAGTTTTTTTATGGAGTCTTTAGGGTTTTCTATGTACAATATTATGTCATCTGCAAATGACAGTTTCACTTCCTTCTTTCCAATTTGGATGCCTTTTATTTTTCCTTCTTGTTTGATCATTATGGCTAAGACTTATAATATGGTGTTGAATTAGAGTGGCAAAAGTGGACATCCCAGTCTTGTTCATGTTCTTAAGGGAAATGCTTTTAGTTTTTGCCCATTGAGTATGATGTTGCCTGTAGGTTTTTCAAAAATAGCCTTTATTATGTTGAGATATCCCTCTATTCCCACTTTGCTGAGTGCTTTAATCAGAAATTGTGCTGGATTTTGTCAAAAGCTTTTTCAGTATCTATTGATATGATCATGTGATTTTAATCTTTTATTTTGTTTATGTGGGGTATCACATTTATTGATATGTGAATAATGTACCAGCCTTGCATCTCTGGGATAAATCCCAATTGGATGTGGTGAATAATTTTTTTAATATGTTGCTTGATCCAATTTGCTAATATTTTGTTGCTAAAATCTTGGTGTCTATGTTCATCAGGGATATTGTCCTGTAATATTCTTCTTTGAAGTATCTTTATCTGCTTTTGGAATTAGGATTATACTAGCCTCATAAAAAGAGCTTGGAAGTCTTCCTTCCTCTTGAATTTTTTGGAATAGTTTGAGGAGAATAGGAGTGAGTTCTTTTTTGAATGTTTGGTAGAACTCCCGTGTAAAGCCATCCAGACCGGACTTTTGTTTGCTTGAGTTTATTTTGTTTGTTTGTTTGCTGGAGTTTATTAATCACTGCTTCAATTTCCTTAGTTGTTATTAGTCTGTTCAGATTTTCTGACTTTTCTTGGTTGAATTTTGGAACACTGTATGATTCTAGGAATTTGTCCATTTTGCCTACGTTGTCTAATTTGTTGGCATATAATTCATAATATTTTCTTACAATCCTTTGTATTTCCGTGGTGTCAGT